TATATATATAAAATAAGAGCAATTCAGGTATCCAGAAATCGAAGCTTTCGAATATTCATCACAGAAGGAAAAACAATGGTCTAACACATTATGAGGTCACTCAATTGTGAAAAATAGAGCATAGAGGACATTGTGAAGTGCAAAGAATATTATAATATCAGATCAATACAAATAAGAGGGACAACTTTCTTGTCTTGTTACACAATTAATCGCGACCACAGAATTGCAAAGTTCTGTCTGACATTTTTGGCCTTTTTGATTTACAAAGACCGTCCTGGAATCCGAAATCAAATGCTCTATTATCTTTATTTTTATGCTTTATCAAAATCGTAAGATTATTCAGTGTCGTTATCAAGATATTCAAAGAATTGCATTCGAAAAAGCTTGACTTGTAGTGAAACTCAGAATTCTTTACGTCAAATTTCTCAAAACTAGGTAGGTACTGATCAGATAGAACTTTGTAATGTTGAGGTAGCGTTATATACATGTAGTACCGAGCTCACACTGCCGATCCAATTCATAATTAAATGAGGGGGGCAATAGATTTTTCTTCATCGATAGGGCAAAATTGTTGCCATTTTGGCATAATTAAACCGAATTCGATAAAATTGGACAGTAAAGTTTAAAAATCAAACGCGGGTGCTTTTCAAAGTTGCGAGTCGAATCTGTTGTTTTGTGCCAGAAAGGTTTGTCATAGTTTTTGTCCTATCCATGAATGAAAATCTGGATGCCCTCGATTGAATCGAATTCGATTGTCAGTGTGCACTGGGTATAATACATTCTCGCATCTTACACCGTACATTAAAATTTGCTTTTCTATTTTCTGTCTAACTACGTGGGGGTAGAAATGCGTCATGTATCAAGTAATCTAATATGCAACGGGGGAAATACCCACAAAATCCTGGAAGTTATAAAAGCCTTTTGTTTCATTAAAAAAAACTATTTGATAAAACACAAGACAAAAAGACCAACAAAAAGAATTGAAAAAAAAATTGGCACAACATGGCGCTTCGAATGAATAGGCACATAAACATACCACTACCACAGAATTACTAAGTTCTATCTGCTCAGTACCTAGTTTTGAGAAATCTGACGTGAAGTATTTTCTTTGAGTCACACATGTCAAGGTTTTTCTAGTGCAATTCTTTGAATATCTTGATAACGACTTCGAATAATTTCACTATTTTGATAGAGCAGACAGAACACATGGTTTCTGACCTCCCCAAGGTCTTTAGTAACTCAAAACGGCCAAAAATGTCAGAAAAGACTCTGTAACTCTGGGGTAGCGATGCGTATTACGCAATGGGCTTAGCCTGAGGACAATGGCTTATGTTCTTTCTATATTGTGTGTTTTCACCAATTAATTCACTAATGAAACGCCAGACACTGACAGTGAAAGAAAAACATCGCAACCCCC